CTGGCCTTCCTTGGGACAATGGCTTATCCTGATAAGAAACATCATTTGCAATGATTGCTTTTTCAGTATATTCCCGAGCATTTCTATAAAGTAGGGTTTTAAAGTAGCCTCATTTTATTCTTTTTTTCTTCTTGGTACCCAAACTCATGTCTCAGCTGCAGTGGACCCAAAGCAATGCCACCAAATTTATGGGATTTGGCGCAGTGGACCTGCAAGCACAGTTTGCACTCATGCATCAAAACTTCATATTTTGTTAATCACTTCTTATTTTTCTCATAATGCATCTGAAAATCATATAGATGATTTCTAGCAGGACAGTGGCTCATGTTAAGCCAGCAAATAATTTCCTAGACTTATTTTGAATCACTCTTGGAATGAGATGTAGCTCTGCATGTACAACTAGGCTGAAAAAACGGGTGAGGGAAAAAAACACAAGGCTCTTTGTCCTCTCTGGAATGTGTTTAAAAGCTCAGGGATGAATAAGCCACTTTATCTAACCCAGTCCGGCTATATAAATAGGTAGTGACACCTTAGCCTTTATGTGAACTAGGGAATTCAGATGCGCCTCCTCAGTTACAATCACACTTGACAGGCACAGCTCGAATCTGAGATGTGCTGCTGTGCTAGAGGGTCACTAAAAGTAACAGAGGGCATTGGGTTTGCTCCGAGGAGAAATCTTGAGCTGTAATGAAGCTGCTGAGGTGGTAAGAGTCAAGTGGCTGCTTTGTCTTTGGTTTGCTTTCCTTTCTTGTGTTGTCTGGCTTTATTTTAAACATCAGGTCCTTCCTGGTGTTCAGTGTCCCAAAACCAATCTTAAATTGTTTTTTGTTCCCACTGGAGCAAAATTTCCATCAGTTCCAGCACAGGTGGGAGGGAACGTTCTTCTGGCAGTACCCGTGCCCATGGCTTCGCATACATCCATGATGCCGTTTGCTGTGTTACTACAGGGCAAGTAGGTGTACGCCAGAACCCAGGGGTGGGGAAAAGGTGTAGCCCAGGCTAGGGGTGTTTTTCCAGCAAACAGTTCCCCCTGGGAGTGATAATTCCCATGCTAAAGCTTGTTGCTCCTGAGCCGTGACTACTGCTGTCATCTTCCCCAGCCTACACCTTGTGAAGCTAGAAGTGTGGAAACAGGCTTCATTTCATCGGTGTGTGGCTTTTTAGTAAATTGTACCTGTGTGCAGATTGCCAGCGAGGGGGCTTAGTGACCACACAAGTCACATGCAGGTTTGTCATGTTGCCCTGGGAGGTTCTGGGTTTGGAAGGCACCAGGAGTGGCGTTTTCTGCAGACACCCTTCGCAGGAAGGGACCAGCTCCTGTTCCCTCCCCATTTGACACATCCGGGCCTCACAACTGGGCCAAATTAAACAAAACCAGGATGGACTGGAATGCTTAAGATTTAGAGAAACATCTTCTGCCAGCTGCTCCCTGCCCCAGTCCCAAAATGGGGGAGAGGAAGAACAGCAACACTCAGACCACAGACTCATGTCCCAGGGGGGAACAGGAGAACTAGTGGTTGGACATAGCCATTAAGTAAGAAGAAAACAGCCATGCTATTTCTGGAGCCAACGCACTACATGACAAAGTGGGATCCATATTTGTGTACAATTCACTTTGTTCTGCATCAATTGTAAACATGGAGGAAAAAGTTAGTGTCCCCTGCCCCAAACTAGGAGCTAAAGGTCACTCTCAGCAAAATGGTGCCTGAGTTGCTAATTTTCAACCCACATTCGGTTTATTTTGTGCTGCCTGTTTTATACTATACATATATATATACACACACACACACACACACACACACACACACACACAAATATACATATATATATACTGCAGTACTCTTAAGATGTGAGTCAACTGCAGAGCTAACTGGGGAGGAGGTGGGAGGTTGCAGGGGTCAGCCAGGCTGCAAGAAGGGTTGATGGGATATGGACTGTGCTAGTTCTTCCTGCTTGAGCCATCATCAGGGAGCATGCAAGAGTGGCTTTAAATTATCCTTATGTTTCCACAGCTGTGCCTCTCCTGTAGCGCCTGGAGCTTTCCCCAGATTGGAGTCTGCCTGTACGTCCCAGCCGCATCCCCATTCCAGGCTGGGATGGGACGCAGGTGCCCAGCAGTTCTGCCAGGGATGGAAAGGACACACTGGTGCAGAGCCCCGATGAGAGCTGACACGTGCCTGCTGCTGCCTCATGGAGGCCATTGCTCCTTTGCGTTGTGGTTTATCACCTAAACCGTCTTAGCTGAAGACTTTCTCCCTGAGAAGAGGTCAGGGCAGCACCTGCATCTCCACTGAATTGCAATCTTTGAGCTGGGCCAGGGTTTTCACAGCTGCATCACCTACTGAATAGTAACATATGTGGGTGCAGTCGTCAGGGGTATGGAGGACACCTTGATACGTGGCAACATCTAACCTATGTTTCATAAATCAAATGACCAATTCATAAAGAGAGTTTGCCACGCTCCAGGATCCATGCTGAAGCTGAATGCTGGCTTGATTGCAAATGTCTACTTATCGACTGACTGCAATCACGGGCATTCTAAACAAATTTCCTTTGGTTTGTGTTCATGAATTGTCAGACAGGATGCAAAGATCCTTGTCCTTTGTAGTGTAAAGTCTGGAGTGTGAAAGCGTAAGCACGACAAGAATAGTTACCATCTGCGCTGCCACCTCCCCGGAGGCTCCTGCTGCTCTGCCGCTGCTCACTGGTGTGGCTGAGGGCAGAAAGGGCCGTGCTCAAGACAGTTTTGGCAAAATGACTTGTGAAATTTTTGGACTCTTCATGCCAAAAACGTCAGAGAAAATAGAGAAAAACGCTTTGTCAGCATCCTTAGAGGAAAATTGCAACTTTTTATTGTTTCAAGTTCAGGTTTTTCAATGAAAATTTAAAAAAAGAGAGAGAAAAAAGAAACTTTGTTAAAATCCTAATTCTCCAGAATTGATTGAATTTAAACTTTGCAGAGTTCCTGTCTCTGGAATGGAAGCCACAATGCTTATCCAAAAACAAAAGGAAGAAAGATCTCATGCTCTCATTTGTAGTGGAAGTAGTGAGGATGAGTAACAGCTTTTATAATGTGAGCTTAAGGGATGTTTTGTTTGTTAAGGGAGTCATGTCTCCCTGTAGCTATAAGGGATCATCTTTTTCCAGAAGAGAATTCATACAAATGCTAGGTTTGAAAAAGAAAGATGGTAAAAACATCAGCTAAAGAAACAAATCTTTCATTTGGAAAACAAAGATGCAATGAACGGCCAGTATCTACTATCAGAGACTGGCTGTTCTGCCTGTGAGAGGTATGGTAGGTGAAATGCCTAACTTGCAACATATGAATTGTGTCTTACGCCTGATGTCTTCTCTCTTGGGGGTAATGAAAACACAGATTAGGATGTGATTTGACGTAGAAGTAACACCTTTTAATCTAAGGCACCATAAAAGCCAGAGTTTCCTTCTCTTACTAGTGATTTAAATAAAGACTAATTCCATGGGAAAAGTTACTAGTTTCTTTAGATAGAAGTGTCAAGCAGAATACATCTAAAAGAAAGAACGACTGAACAGACATCTGAATAAAGGTGAATGAAAATATGATAATATGCCGATGGGATAACATTAAATGAATCTGAGAATCTACTGTATTAGGAGCAAGCCAAAGTTTAAAACTTATGTACTAGGAGCAAGCCAAAAGTGTTCCCATGTTCACCTGAATTAAAGATTAACTCTCCTGTCCTCAGACACAAGGAAAGAGAACAGCTCAGCACAGATCTGTCAGAGACATAAATCAACTCCTGTTGGAATTGCATCCTCTGGAGCCGCTAGGTAGCACCTACTGCATCCTGACATGGCTGAGCACCATATAAAGTGCACGGAAACCCCAGAAGGAAGAGAGGGCTCCTAAATGCAGCTTGTGTGGGTTCATGGTGCTAAGGAGATAGTGTTAGCCCTTCTACCACCCTCTCCCCTGGATAAATATATGCTGGGGTCAGAGTTTTTCCATGCATGGTGTGCAAGTGAAACTCCAGTGTTAAAAGATATTGGGCATCAGGTTTGCAAGCGCTGCCGTGGGAAAGCTGGATTAATTGTCTCCAGCCTGGGATTCAGAAAATTTCCTGCTTGCGGGGCTGGTGGTAACTGAGGAGAGTCATTTTTTATAAGCCATTCGTGGTGACCTAGGAGCCCTTGGGGGCCAGCGGCTTGTGTCAGGGTGTGCACGGGTGCTCATGCGGGTGCTGAGGGCTGCAGAAATGCCTGGGAGGAGCACGCAGCCCGAAGTGTGCTGCAGCCACCAGCCGGGCACAGCCCAGGCACAGCCTGTTCTCGCTGAGGAGGACCTGGCTTGGATGCCGGGGGCTGCTGTTTGTCCCCCAACATACAAGCCAGCGAGCGGCAGGCACTTTCGAACGTAGCCTCTACGGAACAGGGAAGGGTGAGCAACAGTCCCGCGCTCCAGTTATGTGATCTTTAGCTTTTGGTAACTTGGCATTTTTGGAAAATACTGCTTGCTCAGTGGTAGATTATCTCTGCCTTTCATCTTCCCTGCCACATGACTCCGCTCCTCTTGCACAGGGTATAGGTTTCTGGTAATGTGAGTTCCTGCTGGGCTCTGCAATGGGCATTGCATTACAAGGTGAACGCAGATGAGCCAGCTGGCTTGCTGCTAGCCCAGCATGCTGAACGGGGCACCCGCCAGGGTGGCAGCGCTCGGGAGGAGCTCTCCCGCGAGGGCTACAGGGAAACCCAAGATGGAAGCAATGAGTTTGGGGCTGTCTTGTCTAGGAAGGGCTCCAGGTCAAGAGAGGGAAATGGCAAATGCCACTGATGTAAATCTGAATTCGTCTGTGGAAGAGCACGTGCGAAGGAGGGCCACTGTGCATAGCTGTATGCTGCGGGGCAACGGCTGGCTTAAAGAAAGCTTAATTCCTCCGTATCTGCTGTGGGACAGGAGCCGCACAGCTCCACAAGTATCCCTTTGTATTTTTAAACCAAGACACTGTGGCTTATACCACTTCTTCCAATCGGTCCATTATAGGCATTTAATAGACTAAACAGTGTAATACATCTACAAGACATACATTAGTTGAGTATTATGTACAGGTGGCATTTTACAAAATTAGAAAGAACTGAAATAGAGCAAAATCCAACAATGCCTTACTCCATAAAACTTCCTTTCTGCACTACATGAAATATTCTACAAGCTGGACTAGAAAAATATGACTGAATATCTTTTTTTTTTCCTTTTTAGTTTCTACAAAGCTTTTCATCCAGAAAAAAATACAAAACAACTATTGAGTTTATCAGAGAGACAACACTTGCACACAGACAAAGTAAGTGGACATTCACAGACCTGCAAGTAGAATAAATAGGGTTTGTTTTTATAAAACAATTTTCTCTCTATCTTGCTCTCCTATTTTAGGGCCTCTGGCCTACGTTCGGAAAAATAAAAATGGGAGGAGGAGCTTGGCTTTGTGTGGCTGTTAAACTGAGGCCATTCGGCTTTTGTGGAAAGCTTCAGTTTGAAGCATCCACTCGCTTCAGTTAAAATACTTAAAGGGAGCAATGTGAAAGAGGAAGCAGGAAAGAGAGGAGTAATTAGGCTGGAAGAATGAAGTCTGGCAATTCTATATGGGTTGCAGCTTTATGTACTGCAATGAGAAACATAGCGCTGTGCGGCATTTCCCTAGAATTTTGTGTGTTTCTTCAGGAAACTCACTTAGGGAAGTGCCATTGACCTCAGGTGGAAATAGGATAAGGGCCATCCAGAGCAGGAAGGGAGGGAGTGTCTGAAAGCAGATAGAGAACATATAAAATTGGGGGAAGTGTTTCAAATAACTGTTCTTCCTTTCATAAAGTGAAAAGCAAATTAAACGATACGTCTAACGTCATTCCTTACAGAGCTGGGCAGACGCTGATTAAAGGAAATCACACAGCTAAAGATACGTCGTCATCGTTGTTGTTTTTCCCCAGAGCTTTATGAAACATCTTGACAGTTGAGGCAAAAGCAGTGTTTAAAGAGCACCTTGCATCCACCTGGCTGCCTCGCCAGTCAGCTTTTCCGCCCTCGGCAGCGAGCTCGCCGGCCTCTTGGTGCCCTGCACCTTACCCAATCCCTTATCTCGAGTTTGGTCTCGCTTCCACAGCTTGCAGGAAAACTGTCAGCAGCAAAGGGGATGACAGGAACAGCAGCCAGATTTAGGAGCTGCTCTTGAACCTTCGGTTACTCTGCTGAAATTAGGTTCTTTGACTAGAATCCCATTCACCCAACAAAATAAGTCATGACACAGTAGGTAACAAAGTCTATGTCAAAAAGGCAGAACATTGTTATATAGGTTGAGAGAGCAAAGTTTAACTTAAGTATCACGTTTTAATGCACTACACTGCTTATAAAAAGGGTCCTGGATCCCAAATACCCCAAACAATGAGCTATAATTTTTTACATAAATTAATGTTGCTTTGAAGTAAAATAGTCTCTTTCCTTTGTATTAAACATTCATTGCACAGAATTCTTTGTAAGTAAATATATTAAATTTGGTTGCTAAGAAGGCATAAACTTATCTTATTAATACATCTGGCCAGTAAATTTTATCCATCATCACACAAAAGTTTCCTTTAGAGAAAATTACTACTGGGGAAAAGAACGCACTTGAAAGTAAACTTAGGAAGTAATGCTGGAAGAAATTCTATTATTTCATTCCATCTATAGCAAGCGGCTTTTTCTGGCTGCAACATTAATTGGAAGTACAGAACCCATCCAGCCCTGGAGACGCAGACAATACCAGCTTCATAGCTTACAGGACATTTTCCACTGAAACTGTCAAACCCTTCTGATACAGGCAGTATCTCCATCAACACTGTCTAAAGGGTAATGTTTTGGCCCAAGAGCTTTGCTTCTCCAGGGATGGTGCCAGGTGGGAGGGAGTCTCTGCAAGGCCCCTGTGCAGAAAAGGATTCACATCTGTGGAAAAGGCCCCAAATCCATCCCGAACACGGCGGAGAAGGAGAATCCAACAGAGGCCCAACATGTCCAGAGACAGCTTGTCCCAACGTGAGCTCTGGTTTCCAGGAGGTGGCTTTATCGGAGCTGTGCAACCAAAGCTGACCAGGTCGTGCCATGGACGAGGGAGCTCCAAGCCCTGGGCGCGGTGGCGGTTAGTACCGCAAGGGCAGGATGGACACTGGGTGCATCTACCCGCCTCAGCCCGCTTCTACCCCTTCCTACTGCAGATGGCCCAGAGCAGACCTGGCATCACACGGAAGGGCCTCTGCAAAAGGCAAAGGAGGTTTGGGCTGTGCCATTGACCTCCCTTTATCCCTCCAAGCACCGCCTTATGCAGGTCCAGGGAAGAACGACTGGGCCTCCGCACTTGTTTTATACACAAAACATACTAAAAGAATAGTCACAACAATTTCTATTAACAAGATGGGACGAATTCAGCCCTGGCGGAAGCAGGAGCCATTTCTGCTGGCTTCAGTGGAGAGAAGAGTGCGTTACGCCACGGCTGGATCTGGGCCCCAAGGTGTGCACAAACAGCACGATCCACCCAACCAAGTCTACAACAAACAGTCTCACTCCACAAACACCAGTGACTAGCTATTCCAGTTCATCAATGTACAGCAAGAAAGCATTTCTAAAACTTCTGAACCTTATTGAAATGACAGTTAATGAAAGGCTGGTTCATTTGAATTTGCACAGGTTAGTCAAAGGGAGAGAACTGCTCTAATCCGCACCTGAAAGGTAGCCTGGAGTTCCTGTGTAGCAATGTAGGCAAATCTTAACACTTGCATCTCTATACAAAAGTTACAAAATCAAACGGTGACATTATATTACATCTATTGTCCATAATATCACAGTGCTAGTTTTAAATGGCTAAAAACAAGAAAGGTTTTTGATTTAAGACATCCCTTCTGTAGAAATGTAACCCCTTTGTCCTGCTGTTGATACCTGAAAGCAACCTTGCTTAAAAAAGGTAAATCCAATGAAATGTACTGATTGAAATTAGGAACATTTTTCCTTTATAATCTCATCATGTCTGTGATGCATTTCCTAACGTGTCCCACTGTTTCCCAAGGAAAAATTAAACAAATAATATGAATCCCAGCCTGAAAATCAAAATGTTGAAAAGAACAGTTCTAAAGCCCATACACTTCTTACCAGATACTAACTAAATAAAACCCTTGCAGATCTAAATACAGATTACTTTGACGTGTCTTCAGAATGTGTTAGCTTTTCAACAACATTCGCAATGAAGTTTCACTTCTGAGGCCACGGAGTTCCTACTCATCCTTTTCAGTTCTGCTTTCCAGAGCATCTGTATCATCTTCCACTTCTTGAGCTGGATGTGCTAAAGTATCTGCAAAGAAATAGTTCATCAGTATTTATTTCCCTGTACAGGTATGCCAACCTTCATTTGGTTCTGCCTGTTCAGTAAGGCAGACGACACATCAGGGTGCTCAGTCTTGACCTTGCAGACCAGCAGTGAAACCTGAAGTAGGATGCTCTGAGGCTGCTGAGCAGCCTGACTTTACAGGGGACTTCAGACCTCAGAATGGACATTACTGAGGTGATGATCCCTCTCATTTAAGGCGGGAGACCCACTGAGTGTACAGCTGTGGGAGGACATCTGTCACCTTCATGAAATCTGCTCAACCTCTCACTCCTGAAGACCTAACAAGTCCTAGTATCACTGCACTCAAAAACCTTGGAGGCTATCATGCACAACCTGGAGGTCAGGCCATTAATTTGGCTCATATTTCTTCTTGAATGATCACACCCTGTAGTTGCCACCACCCAGAAATGCTGACTGCAGTAACAGATGATTTGACACTCCAAGATCAGACCATTTGTCACAGCCCTTTGGAAGATACGGGAAAGTGCATCTTGCACTCCATCCTGGCTGCCATCTCTGGGCATTTGGATGACAAATGGTGGTGCACTGAAATGGAAACTGTGTCGCACTTTAAGGGAAAAAGAGAACACTGAGACCAAACAGAAAAGAAATAAATAGACCACTCTCCATATCAGATCATTTGCTGTGCAAACTACACTCTGACAAGTTCTCACCTTCAGCCGGGCATTTACCCCACAGTAACACTTTTAGTCATATCTACCTATCTGTGAGAGCATGTTACAGTAATGCACTCCTGGGATACCATGATGCTTTGCTTGTGCAGCTATTTATTAAAATCTGTGCTTCTGGGCTAGGAAATAGGGACACAGATACTGTGCTTGAACAGGATTATGGTTTCCTAGAGTGGGTGCTAATGTGCACTAAACTGCCTGTTGGCCATCTGAATGGCCAGCAGTGAACCTGATGTGGATTTAAACACCATATGCTCAAAAGCTACGAAGGAGTTTTAAGCCCACAGGACTCGCTGTCCAGTGCAGGTGTTCCTGGGCACTAGCCACTGCACACCCCCAAGCACCCACTGCCCTTTGATACACTAGCTATTAGCTTTAGTGCATGGCACGGCCTGAAACTGTTATTTTTCTATGAAAAAGGAGGATGAAAATTACTCATTCAGACCTTCCAGATCCATCTGCTGCTGCTGGATGCAGACTCTTTGGTCACCAAGGAGACTCTTCTCCTCTGCTGATTTCAGGTCGTCGGGTGGCCAGCGCAGCTCCCCGCTTTCCACCTCACCCGACTCGGTGGGCTCCACTACAATCGACGGCAGTCTTTTGGTCAACTTGGGGTACTTCTCGCGCGAGTCTGGGAAGGCCTGGTGAGACATTTGGTGACATGCCTGTCAAAGCGCTGCCCAGGGGCATGTTTCAGAGTGAGAGGGCAAGCAGCAGTAGCATCAGTTCTACATCTGTCCATCACAACTTCCAACAAACTTGAGCAGGGCAAGCGGTCCTGAACAGGGAGGGTTTCAAAACCTGCTAAATTCAGGTCCTCACCAGCTACGAGAGAATGCAGAAGTGTAGTCTCCGCTAACAGATATCAGCACGCTCTCACCTGTGCTGTGCAAAGAACAGGAGACCAGGACCAGAAATCCAACTTTTCTCACCGGTGTGTTGGGCAGACAATTGTCATGACTTGTGTGACCCAAGGTGCATAGAAAAAATGGAGACTTAGATGAAAAAATTCATTTTGTTGCCTAACATTTGTGTTTCAGTCCTTGTGGGAGTTTAGAGCACAAAGATCATAGCTGTAACACTAAACTAAACGGCTGCAGCCCTCTACTTTCTGTCCTTTGATATGATTTATTCATGTTTTCTTGCTGTGACAGTTTATTAAGAAGCCACCATTCTGCAGAGCTATTTTGTGTAATGTGCAATACTATATTTTATGATGCATTCAGGCAAAACAGGTAGCCCCAGAGGTCATCTTTACACATAGGATAGCACCAGCTATTATTTTCATTTGTCACATTGAAACTGTGGGTCAAACACTATACAGTGATTAGAGCTTGAAGCTGAACCAGGTATTTTTAGTGAATGATATTACAATATGTAAAAGTACTTTCTTGTTTTCAATATAGCTGGTTCATTTAAGCTTTTCAGTATACATTGTTTTGGTTTGGATTTTTTGCTGGGGGTTTTTTTTTGGAGGAAAATTCATTTCAAATCCTCCAGGATGTCAGTGTAACATGAACTCTATTGCTGCTTTGCTGAAACCTTATATTCTGACTTCTCAAACTTCTGCATATCTGCACTACAGGCTGTAAATTTCTCCCCGCTAGCTAAGCTTCCACTTGTAACAATAAAAGCAAAGTGAATACTAGGGGACTGAACAAGGGGTCAAGAGCCAGAACCTTCCAAATTTAATTGCCAGCACTGCCACTGACTTGCTGTGTGCTGTAGGAACTTCCCCCAATATCTGTGATGCATTTACAGCAGAATCCAGTATCTGGTTAGACAGAGCCAGCGTTAGCACAGCTCCTGCTAGACGCACAGGCGGACACCTGCAGATGTGCCCTTGCCGCAGTAGAAGTGGGAAAGCATGGTTTGCTCCTGGCTGCATGACAACCCAGCCTTTTGCTATGGGTGGTAGAGCTGGGGTGCGGTAGCAAACAGCCAGGACTGTTAACGCCAGAGCTGCTGGAGGTATTTGCTCCATGACTTCTGTTACGTCCCTTCATCCCAGCTCTCACCAGCTGCTTACGGTTTGATTGTCACACTCGGCATCAGTGCCAGCAGAGGGAAGCAAGCCCTGGGGGAAGGGGCAAGTCCCTTCCGATGTGTTTGGAGAGCAGCAAGTGTGTTTTTAGCATTACCACAATAGGAAGCAGACAGAGTTGCAAGCTCTGTATCAGGCTGCATGGCTGGGACAGGGAAGGATAGTAATTCCTGTCTTCATGCCCTCGCTCCCTGTGGTAGCGCTATGGGGATTCATCAGTCTTTGCAAACCTTCATGCAGACGAAAAATGTTGCATATTATTTTTACGGTAGCAGACAGACCCAGTTAAGGACTTTCGCATGTGAGAAAGCCCCTTCAGTGCAGCTAAATTAAGTGGATCACTGAAGTTTAAACCTCTCTAATGTTTCTCGCAGCTGCATTCACATGGGCGTAACTCATCCTGATCACAAGCAACATGTTTATGGTGCCTGTCAGGAAGCTCCCCACAACTTCCTGTTATGCAGCCTCCTCCTGAACTGTTTATATTAGGCATGAAAATTCCCCAGTAGGTGTCTTGGTTGGGAGGAATTTTTAAGAAACTGCTAAACTGCTATTTCCAAATATGAGACAAGGTGAAAAGACCCTGTTGCTCCAGAATTTCCGGTCATCTTTTGGTAGCTGTGCCTTATTGCTCAGCGGGCAGAAAACAGTCATAAAATTATGGGCAAACTTCCCATCCAGCCGTTGCTCAACTAGCTCAGGTGGCAGAGGGCTGCGTGCAAGATCCCCAGTTCCCAAGCCCGCTGATAACAAGAGGCTCCAATGTGACAGAATTTCTGTTTTTTCCATCTGCTTTCTGAAGACCTAGGAAATGACACACACACAGCTAAAAATATGCTAAAAGATGACTATTAAGGCTGCAAAGTCAAGCAACAAAATTTAGGAAAGGCAACTGGTGCAGCCTCAGTTTGTCTATTTTTGTTTGCCTATTTTGTCATTCTCATATAGTCTCTTCTCACACAAATTACATCATGTTTTTTCCACTGGAGCCCTGTATTTACCAGGTCCCTCTAGGAATGAGTCAGGACTGGCAGGAAGCAGAGCACTGCCTGTAGGCTCTAACTTTATTTTTTCTGCAGAAGCTGGAGTGGGTAACAAGTGGGCAGGAGACTGCAGGAAGAGAAAGAACGGTCTCCTGGCCCAAGTGCTTGGAAGTTGCCAGAAGAGCCCTGGTTCTCCTGCTGAGTCACAGATTTTGTGTAACTCGCTTTCTGGGGGTCTTTTGCTTCAGATGGCCATCTCTAAAACATGCATAATAACACCTTCTCCAACCAGAGATGCATGATAAATGAACCGAAAAAAGAAACCCTCTGGAGCATATAATCAGGGGCACCATAAGAAAAGCTCTAAAGACATATAGGGAGTTGGAGCTGGAGTTAGCACAACCTTTGGACAGTGTACAAAACCACAATAATGAAAAGTTGCGACTATGCATTAAGTGAAAAAGAGGAAACAAAATATTGAAAAGGTGCTCCTTGAGCGAGCACTATCTATCCTTGGAGTTGATGAGGCAAGGAAAAGTCTACCGTAGTTTCTTTAATCACGTAAATGGACTTGCACAAGCAACTTCAGTTCTCACTTTTCTAACTTCCAAATGTTTGACTTTGCAACCTTTAATCAGCTGCTTTTAGGGGTAGTTTCCCGAGTGCAATACAGAGTTTGCCTAAAACAATGTTTCATGTTGAGAAGCAATTCAAGTCCAACCGGCCACTTTCAGGAGGTTTGTCCTCCTGGTAGCGACATCAAGAGTCGCGAGCAAGACCACAGAGACCAAAATGGGGAATGTGAGTTGTCACAAGGACATTTCAGGACATCATGATCCTTCCTGCTGGAAACTGCACCACAGGAGGGCATGTGAGTGGGTCTGTGAGACTGCCCAGGGAGAGAAAACGTTCTTGCACCTGCCAGTGAATAGCTGTGACCAGTGCTACTGATATGATGCAATAGCCATTTATGTTAATTATGCAATCATTTCAAATTGTTTCTTTTCAAAAAAGGGAGCTCTCTTTGAGCATGAAGAAAGTTAGCTCATTACAAGTGTGGCTGTATAAAAGGTACGGCATTTGCTGCACATCTTCATCGTGTGATGCTTGTTTGGACTTGAATGAGATGAGACGCATTTGTAAATCTGCTATTGGTGACAAACATCCTCTCTGCCTGCATCCCTCCAGAGACCTGCTAACGCTACAACTGTGCGTTGGAGGGCTTGCTCCAAAGGAAACTCTTCTGCCACAATTCTTACATTGTTAAATAAAAGCTAAGTAGGATCAAACACATATTTCAGGGATTGCTTTTCTGTCAGCTGTGCTCACCAACTCAGCATCTACATGTATGGAAGTTATTAGTTGCATTGCATTGCTTTTGAAAGGCAACTCAGGAGACTTTCCAGTTTTTCTAAATTTACCTGGGTTGAAGGGCCTCCTTCCTCCTCAGGAGACTGGCTTAAAGCAAATTCCTCCATCACAGGTTCCCGTGTGTTCATCACCTCTGTCATGCTGCAAATACTAAAACAGAATTGGAAAACTCAGGTCTGCACTTTGGCCCCGCAGTTAATTTAACAAAGACATTGGCTTTTTATATTTGTTAAAATAATTGTGCTACAGACTGTTCTTTCTAAATAACCCCCTGAAATCTGTTTGCCTGCCAGTGTTCCCTCTCTTGGAGATGTGTTTGCTGCTTGCGTTCCTGCAGCAGCAGCGGCTCACCACTGTGACGTGTCTGGGGTCACCAGTGGTGTGACATCACTTCTATTTCTCAGACCTGGGGTTTCTGCACAGGAAAGCCCTTGGGCTGAGGGAGGGAGCTGCCCTGTCCTGCCCTTGGCAGCCTGCACCAGAGCTGCAAGCTCTGTGCCATGTCTCTTCTGCTGCTGCTCTGGATGGGGAGGACTTTGGCAGAGGGCGGCAAGAAGTCCCTTGAAGGAGGCACCTAATCTGCTGCACCTCTTTCCC